CCTCCATGCAAATATTTTCCTTCTGTATTTTCCTCACTCTGCCATCTGTAATTTCATTCCCTGCTGCTGCCGCTATGGTGCATCTCAATTTCAACCTCTTCTCTGCTTCCACTTTCATTTCCTGTCCTCCACACCGCTTCTGATTTGTGATCTTCTTCATCTTATTAGTCCGTATCCCAAGTTGACAGTTCATTCGAGATTTTAATGATGAATGAATTATGGTAGAACATTGCGATATCGCTTCATAAAGTTTCGTTTGGTGTCAGAATAGTAATAGATTTGGAAATGAATGCTGCTCGAGTCTTTCATGTTTGCAGTGTGTTATCTGAGCTTTATGATAAAATAGAAAGCACCAATAGATTTCTATCTTTGCTGCTGGCAGGATGAAATATTTGTGGACTGGCCACATGTGTGCATTCGCCGCCTTTGGGGTGTGTGGTAAGGAGGTGTGGTCGTTGTATCTGAGGGTCCTTCACTGCAACACTAGAACCATGGTGAGTGACAGATCTTTCACAAACACACAGTGCATTTGAGAGATACTGGCACATTTATTCACTAGCGTTAAAAAGTTTAGGATATTTCAGTAAAAAACACCAGCAATGAAATATTACAATTTAAAAAACAACTACTTTTCCTATTTTAATATATTGTAAAATGTATTTTATTTCTGTGATAGCAATGCTGAGTTTTCAGCAGCCATTACATCAGTGTCACATGATCCATCAGAATTCACTCTATTATGCTGATCTGATGCTCAAGTTAAATTTTTCATTATTATCAATAATGCTTTTTGATGTCACTTTTGGTCAATTGAATGTGTCCTTGCCGAATAAAGGTTTTTCTTAAAACAACAAAACAAAACAAAAAAAAAGTCTTAACCAAAACCTTTGATCAGTGGTGTGTTTACTTATACACACACACACACACACACACACACACACACACACTGTAGCGGAGAATTGTCTGAGCTGTAACACATTTTATTAAATTGTCCTCTAGAAAAGGAGAAATGAGACCGAAGTAATATGGCTAATCATATGTCAGGATATATATTTTGTAGAAATACGACTGTCCAATGAAAAACAGGGAACTATTTTCCAGGGAAGCTTGCCTCATGTTAGGAGTATGTTGTGTCATGTGAGGGGGAACACATGAATAATTTACATTTCATATAAAAGTGGCTTACTAATGCACAGTCCAATTCCAAGTCTTATTTCACAGCATATTCACATTTTCTTAAAACAGTTTTCAAAAATCAGAACACATTTTCATTAAAAAAAGTTTTAACACTCAGATTTTAATTTTTAATGTAAAGTGCAATGATTATCAACATTTTCTTATAATATTTCTTGCATTGGCTGCAAAGCTCACAACTTTCTCACAGTATCTTACCCCAAAGCATCTGACACACTTTGCCTCCCAGCAACAATTGCATGGCTTTATACAGTATTCTGTAGATTCACCAACTTATATGAAAATATATGTAATGTATTTTATTTATTTATTTTTTTTACATTTTTGCTCGTAATGTTAGAAATGTAAAAAATAAATCTCACTCGCTTCTATATGTTCATGTAACATAAATTGGTTTGGTAGATTAAGCATACGTTAAAGTTTACCCAGTTTACCCCATTCTCTCCGGTACTCAGTACAAGTAATAGCAAAAAATTCCAGTCTAATAATAGAATTTAGTACATGTAGAAGCTTACAAAATATCTTTATCACATATCGCTATATACAAGTGTCATTTCGAAGCTATGATGCTCAATGTTATGAACTAATATTGAGTTTCAGTAAAGCATGGTTTTCCTCTGCATAAATGTGCCCATGTGCACACAGCCGAACATTTTATTTCCCCACTAGGTGGCAATGTAGTTACAGCCCTCAAGCCTAAACAATTACAACCTGTTTCTTCCCATTTATATGGTTATTTATCCATTTATGTTATTAATCTGTTTCCACAGATGAGACTGATCAGGTACTCTGTTCCTATTGTAATACTGGCGTTTCTTTATTACAAGGTAAGACATTTTCAACTATGCTGTCATGTTTCTATTTGCATATATCGCTAAGCTGCCTGGGTAGCTGTAGGCCATAAACAGTCACGCAGGAATCCTAGTGCAAGCAAATGGAATCCGTATCACACTGTGTGTGCTATTTAGGCGAGTTTTGGATCCACAATGCTATTTTTTCTCTGTTAACACAGCAGTGGGAAGAAAGAATTAGACATGGATTGTGCAGATTTGTGTATGTTTGTGCATTTGGATGTTTATTGGGCTGCTTTGTTGATCATTGATTATTGTGAGTCATTCCCATTACAGCTGTCTCACACTCTCCCTCCATCTCAATCGCTGTCTTTCTGTTGACAGTTCTGGCCTAGACTGATGGAGGAGATATCTGAGCTGAGAGAGTTTTATGACCCAGACACTATGGAGCTAATGGAGTGGATCAGGTAAAGCAGCTGCAATCTTCCTCTTACATGCTACAAGCAAACACTCACAGACAACGATCAGACCAGAAGTCTGTGACCTTTGGCAATAGGCACTCAAGCCACCGATGGCACTAGAAAGGATATTCACTGGCATTGATAAGATGAATTTTTAATTTACTTAGTTGTTTATTTTAGAAGTGTTGAATTCACTTGCATCTGCATGCCAAACTTCTTTCGCAGTAATCCATCCTTATCATCACACAATCTGTTTTTATTTAGCTGTACGGTCTGTGATGGAGTTTGGTCTGTTTTCTTAATTAATTTATTTATTTTTTGCTTTTCACAGAATAATTAGTATAATCGAGAAGATGTTTCCGCTAGCAGCGTCGTATAATAAGTGCTACAAACACATAATAACGAATCAGTCTGGCATACACGGTCTTTAAAGGAACAGTTCACCCAAAAATAAAAAATAGCTGAAAATGTACTCACCCTCAGGCCATTCAAGATGTAGATGAGTTTGTTTATTTATCAGAACATATTTGGAGAAATTTAGCATTACATCACTCACCAATGGATCCTCTACAGTGAATGGGTGCCGTCAGAGTGAGAGTCCAAACAGCTGATAAAAACATCATAGTAATCCAGAAGTAATCAGTATGACTCCAGTCCATCAGCTAACATCGTGTGAAGCAAAGGCTGTGTTTGTAATAAATCCATCATTAAGACAATTCTGACTTGAAAATTATTTTTGCTGCTAAAACACTAGTCCTCCATCCTCAGTATTGCTTTCTCCAGTGACAAAGCTGTCTTGTCTGAATCAGGAGAGAAATATGCACAGATCAAGCACTGTTTAAAAGCAAGAACAGTTCCATTCTAAACACATATATTGGTGGATTTTGATGTGAGGACAACAGGGAATGGACTTTTTCATTGGAGGAAATTTTTTTGGAGGAAATATTTTCTCATACTTTGTCCAGAAGTGGTGGTTTAAAGTTAAAATTAATTAACCTTAATTAATGGATTTGTTATTTACAAACACACAGCTTTTCACTTCAGAAGACATTAATTGATGACCTGGAGTCGTGTGGATTACTTTTAGGTTGTTGTGATGTTTTTTTATGAGCTTTTTGAACTCTCATTCTGACGGCACCCATTCAGTACAGAAGATCCACTGGTGAGCAAGTGATGTAATGCTAAATTCCTACAAATCTGTTCTGATGAAGAAACAATCTCATCTACATCTTGGATGGCCTGAGGGTGAGTACCTTTGAAGCAAATTTATTTTGAACTATTCCTTTAACGTTTTTCACACAAAACATGACACTTAAAGAAATGATGTCTTCCCCTTAAGTTAACATCACACAACACAACTTTAAAACATGACAACATCATGCACATAAATGGTAAAAACAAAAACATTGAGGCACTGATTTGCATAATTTATTCATGATGCCGTGCATGCTGGGAAACAAAATCTAGCATTCGGCACCATAGAAATCACAATATACTGCATTTCGTGGGGGCTGAAAAGTAAAACCGGCACTTAACGTCCATAAAATTGCCAACTTCTTGATCAAACTAATATAAAATGTCTTTCATCTTGCTCCCTCTTTCACTCCATTACAAACTGTGAAGGATATAAATAAAAAGCTGTAGTGAATACTCTTATTAATCGGATGGGATTTGCAGCAGTAAGGCAGCAGGTACTTGTGTTTGGAACTGGGCCGGTGTAAGATGGACGTCATGAATTAGACATTAGGTGTTGGATAGACTCCAGCGGTTGGCAACAGAAGGTTTCATCAATGACACCATTCTCACTTCAAGTGGGAAAAAAGCGCTTGCTCATAGTCAAGTTTATATGTCTGATTGTGTGAGAAAGAGTGAAATGTTTGGGCTGCATTGACACAGGTGATCTCTTCCTGAAGAAAATGCGATTTGTGTTGGATTAGTGGGTGAGTTCCCTTGGCTGATGCTGCGGCATTAAGCCGCTTCCACACGCTAATTAACCATCAGATGAAAGAGTTAAGCGGGGATCACTTCACACTTCTGTCTGTGCTTGGCTTGCCAAAGCCTGCACTGTTTTATATGTAGATTACCAGAGATGCTCTTCTGCCTAGAAAGGGAAGGTGAGCATGAAAAGCATATAGAGGAGAGTGGCAGTATCAGCCTCCTCTAACCATGATTGGAACTTACTGCATAATAAACCACATACGTGGCTCAATGTGAAGAGGGAGGGCGAACAACTACAACTGTGAAAGTGTCGCTGTCAAGCAATCTTTTGATTTATCTTGAGCTAAAAACAACACACTAGACACTGTATGATTTTATAGTGAGTGTGTGAAAATACATTTTTCCACTTTTGTGATTTTGCTGGTTTTATTAGACAGCTGTATAGTGTAGAGTGACAGGTGCTGTGCTTCAAAACCTAGTGAGCTGCCTTGCTGTTTCTGCCCACATAGGCAGCATCCTCATGAGTGATTGATTTGGAGGAGCAACAATATGTAAATGCAAATGACAAGTCTCGGATAACCTAATGCAGTATATATATATATATATATATATATATATACACACACACACACACACACACACACAATTTGCATTTACATATTGTTGCTCCTCCAAATCAATCACTCATGAGGATGCTGCCTATGTGGGCAGAAACAGCAAGGCAGCTCACTAGGTTTTGAAGCACAGCACCTGTCACTCTACACTATACAGCTGTCTAATAAAACCAGCAAAATCACAAAAGTGGAAAAATGTATTTTCACACACTCACTATAAAATCATACAGTGTCTAGTGTGTTGTTTTTAGCTCAAGATAAATCAAAAGATTGCTTGACAGCGACACTTTCACAGTTGTAGTTGTTCGCCCTCCCTCTTCACATTGAGCCACGTATGTGGTTTATTATGCAGTAAGTTCCAATCATGGTTAGAGGAGGCTGATACTGCCACTCTCCTCTATATGCTTTTCATGCTCACCTTCCCTTTCTAGGCAGAAGAGCATCTCTGGTAATCTACATATAAAACAGTGCAGGCTTTGGCAAGCCAAGCACAGACAGAAGTGTGAAGTGATCCCCGCTTAACTCTTTCATCTGATGGTTAATTAGCGTGTGGAAGCGGCTTAATGCCGCAGCATCAGCCAAGGGAACTCACCCACTAATCCAACACAAATCGCATTTTCTTCAGGAAGAGATCACCTGTGTCAATGCAGCCCAAACATTTCACTCTTTCTCACACAATCAGACATATAAACTTGACTATGAGCAAGCGCTTTTTTCCCACTTGAAGTGAGAATGGTGTCATTAATGAAAAAGTCCGTGAAAGTGATTTTGTGCCTCTTCGAGATAGCACAATAATGCGTCGTTCACTTGTAGAACGCAAGCTTCTAGAGGGCACGTAACTCTGAAGTAATGCATTTAGGTAAAAGGGGTGCAGAGCCAGTGGTAGTTTTGTAGGCAAACATTAATGCTAATATAAATACAATGTAAGACAACAATATAAAACAAATCAATAGCCTAATCAGCAGCTGACACTTAATCATGGTAAGCAATATTAAAAAGGTGGGTTTTCAACAGTTTCTAGTGAGCTACTAGTCCATTTTAATTAATTAAAATATGTTATTATTTGAAGCTGTATTAATTACAAGTGCTTCTATAATCATGTCTCTTGCTTTGTGTGCCATCTTGGATGGATTTTTTTCCCCTTTACAGTCACCATGAAATGGAAATTGCGATCGTATTTTCTTCTCAATTGTTATATATACAAGTGAAATGGCTTCTAGAATGAAAAAAAAATGTAGGGTGGGACTTAATTTTTCCATCTGGACTTGATTGGATCGTTGTCTTTTGCTAATTGCTGTGATCTCATGTGAATGACAGATTGCTGGAGGGGAGGCTTTATTGCTCAGGGGTGTAATTAGGATTTCACTCATAGTTGAAATCAAATGATCAACTCTGAACATAGAAACAGTGTTCCTAGCTGAAAAAAACAACAACAAAAACACTAACTTTCATTAACCAAAAAGGGAATAATACAGACTACAGAGCTCTACCATTTATGTACTGTACCTACTATAAAACCCAAAGTATACCAGTTTTTATGTAAACGCTAGTGTACATGTACAGCTGAACGCATAGCCTTTCAAAATATACTCCGTTTGATGGCATGCATAAATCAAAATCCCTTTCAAGGAAAGTCAGTTCACTCATGACTATATTTACAACATCTCCTGGCAGCTATTTTGGACATACATCAAGACAGGCTTGCATCTACTTGCATAGGGAAATACTGAAATCCCCAAAACTCACATTTAAATAACATTTAAACCGTAACAAAATCTGACATGAACTGTCCTATAAATGTTTGTTTCTTATTCACAAATGCTGTTAAAAAGCATACATTCCAGATTGGTCCAGCCAATGTGCATGTGTCTGTGGGAACTGGAACTTCTGTTGGCAGCTGCAGTGAAGCAATGACTTTACAATTTAGCGATTGGCACTTTTATGTGGAAGGCGGGATATATTCAGAAATATTGCACATTGCTCTTTTTCCCATTCGTTGTAATATAAGTTAACATTGGCAAACTGAGAGTTTTGTTCAGTGTCTGGCTATTTCTTCGAATTTATAATCAATAAAAATCTGTTTGTGCTCTTTCAAGCTAGAGTTACGGCTATCCACCTCAAGCCACTTCACTCAAGGGCTTCTATTGTTGTGGTCATCTCCAGTAGTTTGTTGTTGTTATTCCGTATCTTCCATATTTTCCAAATCAGTGTCCATGATCAGAGTTGCTGTCTTGCGGACCAACTAATTAGTGAAAAAATGCAAGGTACATGTGTGAGCTAAACGTACAATACGTGTACCCAACCATATAAGTAAAACCCCAAGTAAACTTTGCTGACTGATGTCCTTGGTTATGTGGTGTCTTGCTGTTTTTCAGATGCTTTGTCACATTAAAAGTAGTTCAACACAGTGCGTTCTGTTCCATCGCATTGTACAATAATGTGACTTGAAAAAAC